CCACTTTTCCCTATGGTTGAACAGTAAAAACATACAGAGAAGTTACAGTTCTGATCAAATGGCATCAACGTTCATGTTGGATATGGGGCGCAATCATGGTGGAGACCAAACACAAAGATGCTGTCCTTTAAAGGTCTGGCCCAAATAGCTAAATCATTATCTTTCAGATTTGCTACTGCATTTTTTTCCCCTTTTGATATTTATCAGATTATTATTTTATTTTTGCAGCTATTTGAAATTATAACACTCCCTGATGATGCTTATGTTTGCTATGGAAAAACTGTGGCCTTGACTGTGAACCTTTAAGTCATATCAGTGAAACTGAAAACTGGCCCCGAGTACCAGGTAAAGATTAGGCCAATAGTGTCTCACATTTCATTAGTCATTAGTAGAAGATTTTTGTTTTGTTTAATGGCATTTGGGTGGCATTCAAGACAAGTACACTTAGTATGGAGGCAGCACATAGAAACACATTGTTAAATTTGGCTTCCCTGGTAGTATAAACCTTTTTCAGGTTATTTGTCAGACTGTCATTTTTTTGGGGCCTGGAATTTTCCCTGACTTGTGGCCATCTTAGCTTGAAATATATTTAAAATCCTGACACACAAATGAAATAGATGGGAAATAGGAGAAATAAGTAGACTTTTTTATTGTCAGTCCTGAGTACTGAGGTTTTCTATGCAATTTTTTCTCAAATATATAATACCATGCATAACTCCTGCCCTTCTCTGTAAGAAATACATGGTATAGTAATGCTTAATTCATGAAGAGAAGTGTCCTCAGGAAGTATAACATATTCTAGATCTACCCTTTTTTTCATCCTCATTTATCTACAGATGCCCTTTTCAATCCACAGGTACTTTTAGGTGATTTACTATTCCTTATTCACACTGTGGCAGTGAAGCCCCAGTCAAGTGCTGTTTAATAGGCGAAGTAGAGAGCAGCATCCCTCAGGACACTATCAGTTTGTAATTAGGAGGAACGTTTGGGCTAGGAAATTGGTAATTATCCTCATATTTCTACCATTTAACTGTAGAACTGTACCACACATGGCTGGTTTATGGTTCCAGAAGCCAGATCTATGCTAAGTTTTATTGTAGTGTGGGTAGCCTCTATTTCAACAACATGCAGCTCCAGCAGAATGGTTGGCCAAGCTGTGCATAGTTATGCATGCTAGCACATCTGCATGGCTGTACAAGTGAATTGTGATTCCTGAGCTCAGTCATTGCATCTGCTAAGGTCCACCTTTAGATCTACATGAAATGTATGAATGTGCTTTGATCCCATCTCCACTGTTTTGATTGTATTATGCTCACCTACATTAGCAAGTGACTCAGCACACTACCAGCAACTCAGCAGATCAAGTGACTGCTGCTGAGTTCCCTACCTTAGACTAAGCATGGTGCAGGAGTTTATGTCAGACTTAATCTATTTTGGTTAGTTGGACCAAATATCCCACCTATGCAAGTGTCTCAAAACTGTCTGAAGAGTTAATGCTTTCCTCAGATCTTTAGAGGATAGCACCCTTTGGTGTACATTTAGAGCATGGCCTCTGGTCTGGCTTAGTTTCCTTCGAAAGAATTCTAATTTGCATGCATTGCATTTGCTCTGTGACCCAAACCAATAAGTGGTAGAGTGCAGACAATCAAGGGGTTGGTTCACTTGAAGAAACTCTCCTGCCCTGAATTTAAGTGCTAATTCAGGTGCAGCAGCTGACAGTTATTGAATTGCTATTTATTTAAAGGTCTTACCTGTAACTGATTGTGTGAGTGTTTCTGGGTGGTGTCAGAATGAAGTCAGACTGCAGCTCAGTGTCATTTATATTCACCCTATTGACTGCCTCAATTTAAGTAAGCCCAGCTTTAGTAACTGACCACAGCTCAGATACAGTTTAAGAAAGCAGGTCTTGTGGTGTCTCAAAAATTAGTCACTGGTTCCTGGATCAGACACAGAACTTGGGAGTAAGCATGTGAATGAGTATAGTATGTGCTCACACTATTGCCATGCACATAAATTCAGGCAATGCTAAGTGGGTGTTCTGCAACTGCCCTCAGTGTGCCAGTTTAAGTGCATTACCTCATAGATATGATCCCCACCTATTGCATCATATATCACATGTTTAAAGTCCCATGACCAAAACTTTTAGTCTCTGACCTCTCCTATACAATTTTAGTTGTTCTTTGCTGGCTTAGGGAAGTGCTGGACTGGCTTATGTGCTGTTGTAAGACATGGTAGCGTCTTATTAGTGCAGGGTGGTAGTGATTATGCAAATTAACTGATGTTCAATTCCAATTCTTTTTTTATTAGGCAAACTAATAAACTCTAAGAAAAAAAGTCTGGGCAATTAGTTTTTCTTCTGAAATAGCTCGTCCAACTTTTCTAATATGGCTACTGTAATATGAATTTTCATTTGATTCTTCTTTTCTTTTTTTTTTTTTCCTTTGGAAAGAAGTGGGGGGAACTAGAGACAAGGGAGATAAAAAATGCTGTGTTTGATTGAAAGGGCCTACACTCCCAACAGCTTATGCTCACTGGATATGCTGTTTTATCAGTGGGGTCTTTGTGTATGAATGAGGCAGGTGTTTTCTAATATAAGAATTCAACCTGAACTGACTTCTGTTTGCTTGTTTTTATAATGAAATCTAGGCTTGACGCTTTCAGGCATATCTGAAATGCCTAAATTCAGGCGTGAATTCACCAACTCAGAAACTAAAGCAAAAGGACAAAACTTTCCCTGTCACCTTATTGTCTGCCTTTAGCTTTGCAATATTCAAGCAGCATATCTGGCTATATCTGGCTGCTAGACTTTATTATTTCTAACACTTGATTGTTTTTCTAAGTCTAGTTGTATGTGCAGGAGCAGTAAAAAATGGTTGAACACCCACACTTGGGAACAGAAAGCATCTGCTGTTCAATACCATGGAGGTGCCAAGATACTGCTGCCCTGAAAAATATGTGTTAGAATAGGTAAGCATGACTAATGCATGCACACTTAAGCGACTTACAAAGAGCTGGTTTTGACTAAGAGTGGGAGGATTTTAATCTTTCACACTTGTGGTATACCCTGTGCTGCAGGAGATGTTTCAGAAACCCATTCTGAAATGGGTTCCATATTCTTGTGAAGATAAACAATACTTGCAACATTCTTCCAGCATGCAGTCAATATACTGCTGTCTGTTTGCAAAGCTCTTGATGGAATAGCTGCTCAGAGACCCACGCTGGTTTTTGGGCTCTCTCAGGGGAGTGCTGAGAATTACCGTGTGTGGATTGCACCTACTGGTGCGGTCTTTTTCCTCTGTCTTCAAATACTTCATAAACAGTCAGGTATACTGTTATAACAGTGTTCCTAATAATTTAAAATGTTGACACTAGATGTAAAAGAACAATAAATGCTCATTGAGCCAGCTTTCCTTGGATCTTTCCTTGTCACACTGGCATAGAGTAGGGGGAAGCTGCACTGATGTGGGTAGCAATACAACTTAAAGCAGTGGTTAGCAGATCTAGTAAATCTGGCTTTCACAAGTGGGGAATTTGTCATTTCGCAATATCAATAGGCCCTGCCTATGTGCTTTAGCTACTGGCTCAGTACAGTGAACTACTATGTTTTTTACATAAGTGGCAGCAGGTTCAGGTTCCGTTTGATCTTCTTCACCAGAGATGATGTTTAACTTGGGTGGTAGTAAATGAACATTTTAGAGAATAGTGGGAAATAAACTAACATGGGAGAAAGAGACCAGTCTGCAAAGGCAAAAAAAGCTACAATTTTATTATTTTTCAGCATTGCTTTTCTAATAGAGAAAAAAACACTGGAAGAAACAATTGTTTTTTTGGGTTGAAATGTGGAAGAACAGTGACTCTACATTCCCTTCAGTTTTCAATAATCAAAGAATATTTTATAAATCTTTAATTGTTTTAGTCCTCCATGGAATAACAACATTTCTGTGATAAAATGTTTTTTCTATAGGAGAATGTCACTTTGTAAAAGTGGGAACATTCTGTAAAAGTGTGTGCTTTAATGAAAGGCTGCTTTAAAAAGACTAATAAAACATTAAAAGGTTTAAATTTTGTTTTGTTTTGAAATATATCAAATATATTCCTATCTGCTTCTTCAGTGCAAACAGGGAGACAAGGTAAAATTCCATCTGGCTTAGTGTTGGAATAGAGAATTTTGAATTCTCTAAAATGTTGTTTTAGAGAAAAATAATTTTTTAGATTTATGACTCTTCCCTTGTATATCGAAGAAATTAATTGAAGAGATAATAAGTAAACCTTGTTTAGCTTTTGTTGTTTTTTTTTTTTTCCAAAAGATATGGTACTAAGGTACATAGATATATAAGTAAATAGAGCACATTATTATTACCCTGTGTTTAATTATTCCTTCCTCTATTTTACCTGACCTAGAAGAAGGTGAAACAAAGCAAGTGTTTGGATTAGTGCACACCAGCTATGGCAAGTGATGCCCTGCAAAGCTATTATGATGAACCGATTCACTGCTTCTATTTCAAACTCTCTTTCATACTCACTTGCTCTGACATTTCTCAGACAGGTTCATAATAACCCCAGTAGTCTTTTTCTTACCTACCCCGTGAGAGTAAAAATACTTTCCTCTGTTCATTTAACGATTAATTTCTGTAAATCTTCTTGCATGTTGACAAGAAAAGCATTTTTTCTTTTTCTTTTTTTTTCCTGATTGCATTTAAGAATATATTTCTTTTTCTGTCCAGCTGATCAGACTAATCCTTAACTCCCTTCACTGTGGCTCATCAAGATAAGCAAAGAACTTATATCTGCATTAAGCCAGACTCTGTGAGCTCTGAAAATGGAAATATGCAGTTTTGCATGCAGCTGCCTGAATGTATTATTCCCATTAAACAAGTGATCTTTTCTCCTAGAAATATGTTGTTGTCACTCTGAACAGATGCAGTTACATAAGAAAGTCCTGCTGCATCACAGTAATAATATATCATGGGAAATTAAAGGTGTCTGCTTCTCATCTATCCTTTTCTTCTTTTTTTTTTTTTTTTTTTGAGATTATTGTACTGTGGCCTTATTTTTGCACTGAATTTCAGTAGAACCTTATTAGGAGCCCTAGTAGCAGTCTGGAAAAGAGCCAGATTCTGACCTTTTCCTTGTTCAGTAGTGTAGCTGCTGGTTTATAGGTGCATGCAGAAGGTCAGAGTAAGGCCCAATGCTTTCTGAGTTTTCACAGTAACTTTAAGCAACGGTTTTATCTGGTGAGGGAAGAGTCTCAATAGTCAGCATCATCATCTGTTCTTTCTGCATTTTCATCTGTGCCTGGGCCTGCCTTGCTCGTCCTTCCAGCCGCAGAGTCCATTCATGGCGGAGTCTGTGGAGAGAGGACAAGCACTTAGCAAGTACTGAGCCAAATCCTTCAAATTTATCTAGGGCTTTTCAGCAGGGTTGAAGCTTTCCTCTCTTTCATCACTATAGCACTTGTCCTGTATTTGTTTACCATCTACACATCTCTCTACCTTGCTAAATCAGGAATGCAGGGGAGAAATGGATAGTCCTGATGCTATCAGTGGTTGACATTGCTGGATTCCAAAAGAGTCAAACAACTGTTGAAATACTGTCAGTATGAAGAGCTCTGTTTTTTTTTCCTCTGGGATATTCACAGAGCTACACAGAAGTGCTATCTATCCAATAAGGTCATTCTATGTGTAAATTAAAAAATACAATTACACTCCTAAACCCCCCAAGTTTACTGTAAAATGCTGTGGAGAAGAGCAAGAAGATCTGTCAATATGCCCATTTGGGTTTACTCTGAAGAAAAATAAGGTAACTATTTCCTACCTAAAATCTCTACAGACCCTGTATGTGTTTAATGAAAGGAATTGATGTTACATGCAAGAGGAGCCACATAACTTCAAGGCGCAAGTATAGTACAGACAGAAGAGAAAACCACTAGGGACCACTGCAAGATATTGTTGGATGTGTAATTTTCTGAAGGAAATTGTACTATGAAACACCTGACCCAGCAATGCTATAGGATTAGATATCATATGGTAATGCCCAATGCATCATGGTTTTTATATTACATTTGGTGTGTTAAAAAAAATCAGCCAATGATTTCATCTGAGACTAATTCAGCAGTAGTTGTTTCATGTGAATGCTTCTGTTACTTTGGCTTCTGAATTTGATTTCAGGTAGTGTTTTAAACTTTTCTCATTTGGTTTACCCTGTGTTTGCTTCACTATTCCCTTATGCATACAGTTAAACCTCAAACAATTGTTGCAATTAATTAGGAAAAAATTTGCCGTTGAAAACACTGGCGTTCCTTGTCAACTAGTGTCCTAGGTGTTGCAGAATGAGCACTCTCCTACACTTAGAGCCACCTAATTCTCCCAGACTTACATGAAGTTGTGAACCTGTAGATTTTGTAGTGACCTTCTGATTTATTTTTTTTATTTATTTATTCAAATTAGAGAACTTTGTGAACAATCTGGGCTTTGGTCAAGTGACCTTGAAGGAACTTTTTGGGGTCTATTTCAGTTGTAACCCCTCTGCTAAGATATATTGGCTATGTAAGCTAAGACATATTCAGAGTTCTTTTGCTGTATATTTTTTGCTTTTCAGAGAAAAGCAAAAATGAAATGAAAGCTTTTAGCATTTTTAACTTTGTGATGTTAAAAATAGTACCTATACTCCCAATTGCAATTGATTTGCCATGTCTTTTTGTGGTAGTTTTTGTGAAGCTAGAGTGACAAAGGTTTCCAGTGCAGCTGAACACTTTCCTGGGTTTTATTATATATGTTTCCTGTCCAGAAACTTGGTGATTTGGGTTGGGAGTATTACTGACTAACTGGAGTAGGATGCATTTACATGGGAGCAACACTGTCTACATCTGACTATTGGTACGCAAGGCCTACACAGAGCTTGATTTCCTTATTCTTTAAATGACAATAGTAGCTTCCTCCTTGGCAACTTGTGTCAGAGTAGGTGGAAATTTTTTTAACGAAACAGTCCTTTACCAGCACATTTCAGTTTGTTGAATTCAAATTAATTTATGTGAATGTCCCAGTTTTGAAGAAAGTTTATTCAGGAAAACTTCTGTTAATTTCAGCAGGAAAACCCATCAGAAAAACACAAGAGTCACAGATATTTCTTAGGCTCTTTCTCTGTCCATTGTTAGCCAGGGGATTCACTTAGTGTGTGTGAGACCCTGGTTCAAACTCCTGAGGTACAACAGGTTGAGAAACTATTTGAAGCAGTCTACCATACTTGTGCTGAGTATTTGTACTATAACCACAACTGTTTTGGAAAAAAAAAGAAATTTAGTAACCTTATTTTTTAACTATCTGTTGTGTAGCAGAAATGCTAATGAAATGTGTTCCATGGGACAGGAAGATCTCATTATACTGTTTCTATCCTCAGTATTATATGATGAGAAAGGTTGTTAAAAATTATAAAGTCTATAGGTTTGTTGATTCTGCACATTAAATGGATGGTCTGCCTGTCCCTTTAATGTAATACTACTTTATACTAGTACTAGCTGTACCAATTCCAGATAAAAATCTTGGTATTTTCTGTCTGTCACAAGCCATACAGCCAAAGTGCTTTATTTTTGTGTGGCTATGCTCCAAGGCCTTTGAAGAATGCTCATGAGGTTCAGGGGTGAAGGGTGTCTGAGTTTCCATGTAGAAGAGCCACTGAAATATGAGACAAGCAGCTTTGAGAGAAAAAGTGCCAAAGATCCTGAATACAATCTGTGCTATGAATAAAGCAGTACAATAAGGAGTTACCTTATTCTAATGCACGTGATGACATGCTTTGCTATATTGTGCAAAAGAAAAAGAACCACTTACTTGCTCAGGGCACTTTTGCTTAACCTAGACTCTTCACATTCTCTTTGCTTAGTTTGCTCTTGGATGACTTTCTCCCAGAAGTTCTTCAGCCCTTCTGCATCAGGACCACACATCTTGTGTCTTCTAAAGCTGGTATGCTTGCTCATTTTCTGAAAAGCAATTTGGAGGTCATAGCAGTCAGGAGATTAACCTAAGGCAGATACTGTGCTGCTTCGCCCCTTGCAATCTCTTTCTCATGAAATGCTATTAAAATAAAGTGTGTCACCTGAGAAGAATAGGTTACTGGTGTTTACTATGCCTTGAAGCAAAATATAATGCATTGAAACAGGCCTTGGGTGATAGCTAAATGGTGAACCTATATTTTGTTACTGAGTAATGACTACACTTGGCACATTTCACTGAAATATAGTGGAAGCCTCAGAATGTGTGAGATTTTAAGTGGTTTTGGAAGGAGTTGGGAAAAATTCTTTCAAATATAGTGCCATTGTCACTGTCATCTCATCAGATGAGATGTTGCGAAAGGTTTTCCCTTTTTCTACGTCCTGTAATTTTAAAAGAGATTAAGATGTTTGTTATCCAAGGGAAATAGGTTGCTTTTAAATGATTACTTCTACTGCTCCAAATGATGTGTAGCACAAAATGTGTGGAGGAATTATGAATCTAAGTTGAGGTTGAAGCACATGGAGTGCAAAATCCTAGGGAGCTATGTTATGACCTTGTTCTTTAATTTCAAATAAAAATTCAGTCTTAAATACTGTTAAAAGTAGAGCTCATTAAAATATAGAGATGAGTTTCAATGAATGAGAAAAAGGACAGAAATTAGTTGAATTTATCCTTGCTAAATGCATAGTATTCAAACAGAGGGTTTTTAGCTTCTCAGCTTGTCTGTAGTGCTTGCTGGTATAACCAAATATGCATTGGTGACCAAATCTTAATGATACTTTGAAAATTTAAGTTCTGTTGTTTATTTCTAAATGAAATAGTCAGAAAAATTGCATCATGTACTGTATCTATTGCTGGCCAGATATTTCTTTGCTATGAAGGTATCAACGACCTGCTATGCTTCTACACTAACACGCAGAAGGATTTCCTGCACCAATCTCCTCCACTAAGCCCCTCCAGCAAGCAGGATGACACAAGAAATTAAAAGAAAACAACAGACTTATGCTCCTGAGTTTTCTGTCAGCACATAATTTGAGGGTTCCTATGAAATCCCTTGCTTCCTTGTGTTCATCTATATTCTGCTGTCACTTTTGTCATTTTAGCCAAATGTCCATCCTGTAATGCTGATGAATGAATGCCCCATAGACCCTGATATGTACTAGTGAGCCTGCTTCATAGACAATGTCATACTTTATAAACTAGCCTTGATAACTACTATGAAGACTTTGATAATGTAGGCTAATCTGAGGAAACCTTTGATTTGTGCTATGCTTTTAAGCAGAAGATCAGAGAAAAAGAAGAGTCAGCAACACAAAGGCAGACTTTTGTAAGGTCTTCCCATCAAATACTGTATTTTAAAATTCTGAATTTTAAAGGGGTACATAAGTGCATTGTCCTAGATTGAATATTTTATATTTGGCATTATTTTCACAAACATTTTTTAGAAAGATCAATAATAACAAACAGTTTTGCTAAATGTGGTGCTAAGTCTGACTGGGCTGAAAAACTTGCTTAACAGAAAGAAAAATCTCTGCCACTTCCAGATGCAGTATTTTTCCACAGAGAAGTTCAGTTGCTTGAAGGCCAGCAGTCCAACTGGAGTAGTAATGTGCACTGATTAGTTCAGGTAATGAAACTTCCTATGCAATTGAATATCAGACATGCTTGAGTGGTTAGGATACTTTTCACAGCAAAGTTAGAGAAAGCTGCTGTATCACCAAAAAAAATCTGATATTTTCCTTTGAGGCAAACAGCAGTTTTCTGGTGTTCCCCTTACTGTGGACGGGGAAAGCTGAAGAGGTAGCTGTACAGCAGCAGTTGTTATACCAGTGTGGATACAGCAGTTCCACTATAAACTTTTGCTAAACCTGTTTTGTCTATCAATGATATGGTCTAAATGGGAATACAGGTAATCTTTTAAGACTCTTTTGTCTCATTCTGAGGCCCTAAAATAATGGAATTATTTAAAGCTTTATCTTGCAGAAAGGTATGCTTGTCACGGATACACTGGAACATGCCCTATCTGTATCTTAATTCTCTAGCCTTTGAGCAGTGTTAGAATAAATGCCTTGGTAATAGGTTGTTACAGTGAGTGATGGAATATTATTTCATCATTCCCAGACCAGCAGGTCACCTGGGTCTTTTCACCATTTGAAGGTTCTTCTTTCAGTAGCAGCTGTCCACTTGAAACTATTCAGATAATTATCATGTTGCCTCAGAAGCCAGATACAAGCTGCTGACAAATTGTCTGAGTAGGTTTGCCCTCTAATTTCTATTATGCCTTGCCTCACATAAGAGTCTGCCATATTAACCTTTCATTAGAGATTAAGTTTTTATGATTATTAAACTTCCAGTAGATGTTCTTCAAGTGATATAAAAAGGGCCTCCAGTCTTTATCTGTGTTCTAATTTGGTTAGATTTTTTGGGTGTGCAGGTGGGTTTTGGTGGCCTTAAATCTTGGCTGCTCCATTCAGAAGAAGAAGCTGTGGTCAGACCAATAGATGGAGGTACTTCTGCAAATGCTAGTCTGGTATATCTGTGAGACTTTTTGCAAGTCAAGAATATTTGACTTGGTTATAGTTCTTAAGAATGTCAGTGAGAGTGAATATTTCACATGGTATTGCTAAGACAGGTTCTTGAAGTAAGATTTTTGAAGATGGTGCTGCCTGTCATTGTTAACCAACACCTCTTATGTTATGATATGTGATAGTATCCTTTCTTTCATCCTGGCATTACAACATCCATGTATAGAGGTTAGAGTTCATGTGTACTGTGTAATGCCTTCTTTTTTTCTAATCAAAATATTCTACTTAGGAGCTCGGTTTGGACTTCTGAGTAATTCTCTGGGTTTGTTTTCTTTGTATCAAACAGTCATTATTGCTCTAGAAAACATCTTTCTTTGTTGTTGAGTGATTTTCTGTTTTCTTTTTAGATGTTCCAATAACATAAATTGGAGTTATACTGACAATTGGACTTAATTCTGGCAAACTTGTTCTTGATTTCTTCACTTAGGAACCTCAGGGTTCAGAAACTAGCTGGGCAGTTGGATTTTCTTAAACACACTTTGTCAGAGTAATTCCACCAGTTTTGCCTGGGTGGAAAGTGAGCATCTTATTTTAATTTCATCTTTATTTTAATTTCATCTTTATTTTAATTTCAGATAGCCAGATATCATTCCAGAGAAATTAAAGTTGGGGAGGCATCTTTCTGGCTACTAATGTTATGCTGGTTTAATGTGTTTTTCTACTAATATGAAAATAAAATAAGTAAAACCAAAAGTTCATTGGCTTCAAAATTTATTACTCAGAAGACTTGAGTCAGTGTAGGTATTGTTTATGGACTGAAAATTTATGTTATGAAATTTCTACAGTACCTTTCTTATGTAGGACTACTAAAATGTGTGTAACATTGGTGCAAGGTAAAGTCCCTTGCTAAGGGACCCAAACTAAGATGGTTGAGGAGTGACTATATTTGTATGGGTTGTGCAGTTCTACCTGCCCATTTGAAGTATAGTTGGCTCCTTTTGGGGGGATCCAAGCTAATAAAGCAGCATTTAAATAAAGGTGAAACTTGATCTTGGCTAAAGTGGTTTATGTATTGGTAGCTCTGAAGCTGAGCTGCCAGAAATATGTGTATGTGTGTACAAAAGAGTTCTTTACAGCATTCATAATTGATCATAATTAATTTTTATATTAGCAAATTATTATTGTATAGAGAATGTCCAGAAGAAGTACTAGTAAACAAAATTAACAATGCTGTAAAAGAAAAATCTACTGCATTTATAATTAAACCATAAATCACAGGGCCATGAAGCAATCTGTAAGACAGTCAATCATTCATGAACCACAAACAGCATCTACATACAATGCATTGGCTTAAACTCTGAGTTGCTGTCCCAGAGTATGTTTGAAGCAGGTTTAAAGTGTGAATGATGAGTAGTTTTCTTCAACAGATCTCTCCAGTGCAAGGGAGAAAAATTTTGCTTCTAGTTGGAAGTTATTATATGCACAAAGTTTATTCACTGGAAATAGCCAGTGGTACAACCTTCTTTATTTTAATCTGATCTGCAGGCTGAATGTGTTTTGTAAAGGTGTTAAATCATGAAGTTTCCAAATGCTTTGATCTTAGCCCTTTACTGGTCTGCATGTTTTGAATTACTGTAATCTCAGACATCCTTCAAAAAGGAGTTTGAACAAATATCTAATGCAAGTAATTTCTCTTCTGAACACTTTATATTTCCACTTTGGGCTCTTGCCAAGGGATTTTTGGAGTTAGAAATGGCTCCTGATATTTTGAACAAAAGTGCTATTTTTAGTAATTTTTATCTGAAATAAACAAGCAAAAGAAGAAATCTTGTCTGAAACTTGAAGAGGCATTTTTTACCCTTTTTCAGTCTATTAATTTAACATGTCTTCAGCTAGCCATTGTAAAAATTCAGTATTTTATATACAGACAGTACTTGTGCATACAATGAAATTGTCTGAAAGTCTTTTGCTTTTTTAGAGTGAAGTATTTTAATGCATTCAGTAATTTTGCTGACTGAACATATTTTGAGAAAAATGTTGAAGTAGGGTTTAATCTAAATTACGCATAATTTTTTAAAAATAAAATTGTTTCGCTTATAAAAAGAAACCAACTTCAGGTTTGTTTGGTTTTTTTTTTTTGTTGTTTGTTTGTTTTTTTTTAATGTGAAAGTATTTTAACCAGCAAGATAAAAAATATTCAAACATTTTAAAATTTTATTTCCAAAATATTTGCTGAAAGAACAAACTCTTTAATTATTCTTCTTTTAGCTTCTGGTTTTGTATATCTTAAAAGTGTTTAATTTCTAAAAGGTGGAGATAAAGCTGACTTTAACACTTTCAATGTATTTGAGGATTCAGACAATTTTAATATTGAAGATGAACATGTTTCCAAAATAATGCCCACAGTCACTTCAGAGTTTTTTGAAGATCAGTGTGAACAATGGAAAGATATCTTTGACTTCAACTGGATTCAGTCCCACAGGTCATATCACGACCATGAGCTATTTATCTTTGTCAGGCCATTAATTTGGCTCCTATTCCTTTTGCCATTCTCTGGGCTTTGTTTACATAAACATAGAATATTTTCCAGCATTACAGAATTATTACAGTACAGAATATGACTTCAAAGCTTGTTTATGGTTCTTAAAAAATAATGAAAAAAAGCTTTGTGTTCTAAAAGGTTTTAAATTATGCTATAGAACGCATCATTAGAATGAATATCTCCTTATGTGTTTCTTTTCTGGTGATTTTCCTTTCAGTTGAAGTACATGTAATACAGAAGTTCTAACAATACTAAAACCAGACATAGGAAGAAATAGCAAGTTAATAACTGAAGTTAAGATTAGAGTAAATTAAAACAGATGCAGGATACGTCTGGTATTTTATAAATCAGACAGGATCAGATTATCTTCCAATAAAGTATACCGTAATATACAGTATTCAAGGTCATGGAGGGAAGAAGAAAGTGTTATTCAAATTCACATGATTTAAGAAGAAGAAAAATACATGCATATGCATGTTTGTCTAGATGCATTCAACAATCCAGATAAGCTGGGAAAATCTATTTTGGCCAAAATAAAAGAATATAAATGCTTACTTTGAGTGTATAGTAGCTTCCTCTTCCGTCAAAGTATGGATTTCTTGAGTGATTACTGAATAGTGTCAGTTTTACCTCTGGGTTCCCCTTTTCAAGAGGACTCCAACTGACAGGAGTGACTGATGAAACCTGTTCACCCGTCACTCATTTTTATTTGTGAGTAATGACATCTGCTATAATGAATTAGTTTAATGGCGGGGGAAAAAACCCAAACCCACAGTCTCATTTTGTGAAGTCTGCAACACACCAAATGGAATGACCAGATGGTTACAGGGCACAAACTTTGAATGCCACATTTGATCTGTGCTATAATTTTTGGCAGGTGCCACTGATGTCATAACTTGGCTCTGGAGAAACAGTTATTCTTTGACAAGTGCAGATCACTGGAACATAACATATGACTTGCAATAATTCAGTACCGTACCCTCCAAGAAAATGGATAGATTTTAAAAGAACATGTTAAATAACACAGCTTGTCTTGGGATAGTGCTACTGTGTGGCTGGCAGATTTCTTTTTCACTCCTTTTTAAGTGTTGGTCTGTAAGAGCACCTGGTAGGCTACATGTCAGGATTCCAGCTAAGCTGTTAATATGCTGAATAGCGCAGGAATCTGAACTCACCCAGCTGCGAGCTGGAATCACAGCGTATATAATTTGTTACAGAATTTAGCACTTCCACTTCTTGGATAGATTCTTCCTCCTTCCACAGATACCGCTGGGTGAACAAGAAAACACAGGGAAGTGCGATGCTGCTTAGTCTGGCAAACGGAGAGAAGAGTCAGAGAGACTTCCTGCGCTCAGCTATTATTGGCAACCTGACTGCATAACCCCCCTGATAATTTGGCAAGTTCCATCCTGAAATGAGTTATGTTTCTTACTCTAGGTATTTCCAACGAAAGGTTGCTTCAAAACTTTTCTGGGCAAAGTTTTCTTCTGAATTTATTTAAGACAGAAGTTACCCTTCCCTTGGCTCCATGGTATGTAGGGCAGAAATCACCCCCCTCTTCTTCCCTCCTTTGAAGAGAAAGATTAATCGTTCAGGAATTTGGACTCTTATACTAATTTTCTTGACAGGTCTCAAGGCCTTTCTCTGCAGTCTTACTGAACACAGGCAATGAGAACTGTATGTTGCAGCTGAATACCTTATACCCTTCCTTATTTTGTTTAACTGTCTGAATCTAGAATCACATTTCTCTTTTCCAGAGATATACAATACTCATAAACAGTCACTAATCAATGAAGGCACCCACCTAGCTCTCCTCTTATTTTTTCAAACTGATAAGCTTCTGCTTATAACAAAAATTTTAATTAGATCCTAAGTTCATGGCCTGTCTTTTGTGCCATTCTCTCTATTTCAGTCCTTCAGGTCATCTGTTTCTTTAATCTTTGAATTTCAGTCCCCTGAGCTGATGATAACCTTAGTGACCTCCAGAAAATTTCTTTAACTTGGTGCTTCATTTTGTGCCAAATGTCACCACTCAAAACAGTAGTAAGGCTGCTTCTGTGAGAGCTCCTGAGGAATTCCTTTTCTAACCTTCTTGCAGGTAGGGAGCTTTCTCTAAAAGGTCTTACCTTATTTTAGCCACCCATCCATTTAAATGTCTTCTATGAGATCTTTTTTTTTTCTCTCTTTTTTTTTTTAAGAACTTATCTAATGTTTTTCCTATGGCAATATGTTAAGCATTTTACTAAGGTTCACAGTTTATCTCATCCATACGTAAAGACTCACATTTATCTTGGTCAAAGAGAAGCACTGAGGTAATGTGCCGTATTTGACCATTGGCAGACCTATTTTGTATTTATTTCATTTGCCTTCAGGTCTTTAATTGTTAAATCCTCTGAGGTTTGTCTGAAAGCCTTAAATGATATAAAGTCAGATAGTGTCTTTGTTTGAAATATGATAGAATATGGCACAGTAGGTTGTATTCCAGTTCGCTGTTGGTGCCTGAAGTTTGGATGAGATTCATATGTAGAGGTAATATTTTTCTTAGATCAGCTAGTGTAAGCTGGGAAAAATGCACAAGGTCTGAAATACAAACAGCAAACTTCAAGGCTAAATATTAATTAGGAACATTTTTTATAGGTTTAAATAGATAAACCTCAGTGAGACCATTAGAGAGAAAAGTTGGTTCCTCTGCTGAATAGAGAAGATAGTAAAGTAGTAAAGTTCACCTATCTCTTACCACAAAAGAAAATAAGTTATTTATTGTTTTCTGGATGTGGTTAGTAGATGGGGAGAAAGAGAGAAGGAGATTGTAACATGCCACTATGTATACCTATTGAGCCCATAGTTCAGATGAACAACAGAATTATTTTTTCCACTAATCATTCAATAAGACACTCAGCACAACTATTAGTGGAAGGTAGCCATGAAATGTAATATGAGGTCTATAAATCACTGCTCCAGGACAGACTGCTCTGTCTGATAGCTGATCCTGGATCCCAGGCAAATGACCAAGTCACTGATGATGGTGTCAGCCTCTTAGTTTCTCTTCTTGGAGCTGCTCTACTTTATATAAATAATGCAATACTCTATGTTTGAGAGGCACAGTCAACAGCATGCTTGTTTAATATCCTGTATGACTCAGAGGGGGTTTTTGCACTTTCCCACATAACTGACTAGTTTGCCTCACATTTTGACTACTAGTTATTCTAAGGCAAGTTTTTTCATAGCAAGGAAGTTACTTGAATTTTCTTTCAAGAAAAAAAAATTGATTTCACTGTGGTCCTAACACAGAACAGATCTCAAAATCCTGCTTCTATTCGTATGCCTGAGATTGCCCAAATTCAATGTGTCTGAGGACACACCCACAGTTCTGCTGTGTAATTTCAGTGGTGCCTAGTGGCAAAAAATGCAAGAAATTCTAGGCAGAGGACTAGGCCACTACGACGCAAACAGAAATAATCAGAGCTTATTGAACTTTGTAATTAGAGTGGCTGGGCCAGCATGAAAACTCAGTCTGATACTGCAGAGAGATCAAAATATGGTCTTCTTGGGCCTTCTTATAGTAAAGTCAATTGCATGAATATGATGTGACTTTTGAAGTTGCATAGATTTACTCTATACACTTGCTAGATGAATCAATATTTTCTGTAAATTATTTCAACTTTCAAAAGCACACAGATCCCATTATACTTTTGGAGGTTTATAGCCTAACCTGGCAGTTTCACTTAAGAAGTTGACAAGCCTCCAGTGTACATCTCCCAGTATAGCTCTGACAGTTGCTTTTGCTCATTTGTAGTGATTTAGAAATACTAATAGGTCCCATGTAGTGTTGTCTTGCACTGACACAAGTTTGGTGTTTTGGATGTTGTATTATAGTAATCCACTCTGTTACCCTATTATCAACTTGTATTTTTGTGCTAGTTGGTGCAGAAATCACTGTTTATATGGGCTTTTTTTTTTTTTTTTTAACATGAGCAATTGCAGAATACAGCTTTAAAGTATTGTGTGTGTAACAGTGTATTTTGGAGTATTTCCTTACTGGGCTATTATCAGGGCCTGAAGGACCTCATAGACCTTCACAGACCTGTTTAGTCTCACGCGTGACCCACACTGCTGACCAAGCACCTTGTTTCTCCTTAGGCCCAGGAATCTCATTCCTGCCTGAAGTTTTTCTGACAAGATCCCTGTCTCTCGCCCTGCCCTTGGACAGGCCTCAGGCCTACATCACAGACCAGGCATCTGGCAAAAGTATTTAGCAACGGCTTCATAGGTAGTTTGTCTCTCGACCTGTCTCCTGGCTGTGCAGTAGACATGTTTTATCTCCTTATCATTCTTGGGGCTGCTGATGGATGCTATTACCAGCACCTGAAGCAGGAACCTGCTTGGCCTGCCATTCTGTGATCCCACAGGAAGATGACTTCTTCTTGGTGAAGGCAGTGCTTGTGTTTTAATTCATCTGAATGACTGAAGGAATACCTTATTACTGTCAAGTACATTAAGAAGGTGGAAAATACTTAGAAGTCAGTGGATTCTGATAATTCACATGGTCAGTTGTATAGATATCTTTAAACTACTATATAGATAGGCTTCTGTACCTATGTTGACGCTGTCAATAAGATGCTTGTTTGCAGTAGGTAACCAAGCCTTATCTTTCACTGAATGGAAGAAAATTCATTTGTTACAGGCCATTGAAGATTTCAGTGGGCATTTAACTGCAGTGACCTCTGGATAGTCTAGCAGGCTGCAAAATGTCTATTTCTTTCCCCAGTTATGCTCGGTTGCATGCACTTGACTACCTGAAGAGGAGGGTGTCTAGTCCGTGATTTTCGTTTGACTTCCATTTCCTTATCAGGACGATGTTTGTCTTTTCTATATTGCACATTAATTTCAAGCGTGAGGGGAAACAGACATCAAAAGGAATGAAGACTAAATTGCAATACAGCAGCTAGTTTCTGGTTTTTACTGACACAAAGTTCCTCCCAGTTTGCAGGGCCTGCAGTACATGCTGTAAGCTCCCTCAGGAAAGGGAGGGAGGGAGCTTATATAAGATATATATGTAATTACAGATGCAAGATGCATAAAACAGAACAATGTGGAATGTGCTGATGACGTTTAGATGGTACTACGATCTTTCTATGGTCTGGGAAAGTGTTCTTATTGTCTCAGCACTCCTCTTGCTTTGCTACTCAGAAAACACATCCACCAACTACTCATTCAGGACATCTCTGTAGCGTTCAATTGCTGAATCTTGTCTTACTGCCATCTCCTTTTCTTTCCTCTCAAGGTTTTGCCTGTGTTGTGTGGATGTGTCTTCTGTTGTGTGGTTTTGGCCAGCAAGGTCAAGCTTCCTTAAGCCTAAAAATCAGGGTGATGAATGTTTTCTCTGCAACTAGAAGATAAGCAGTCGACAGAATTTAAGGGTTCTCATTACCATCTTCCCTTCTGTGTCAGGGGACAATGCTTTCCGTGTGCACCAGAAAAGGAGGCATACCATGGATGGTTCCCAGGAGAGACACGCCAAAGAGAGAGCAAAAGTAAAGGACAAGTCAAAAACAGTGCAGTGTGTTGGCCCCATGATTGATATCTCTCAGGTCATGTAGATGGACATTATACTGTATGATGCAACATTATTTCATTTGTATTGCTGTAGGATGGCAAGCATGTCTCTCCAACAGTCAGTTGTATCATGTCACTGGTCCTGCATAAGCTAACTGAAGAAATATAAAATTATTGGAAAAGAAAAGCAATTTGAGAATCTTGAAAACTAGGACATGCTGTAATGCTACATTGATCTGCAGCTTAAAAGAAGACTTGAA